AATAATAATCCCGGCCCTATAAGGCTTTCACACCACAGCTTTAACCCTAATGCACTCACCATCGATTTTTGCACCTCCTGCCTCAGCAGAACTTGTTATTTGCCGCCTGCCTTAAGGACAGGGTCTGCAACCAGCCCGGCCTCCTCCCCGCAGCTCAGCTCTGAGCATCGTTAGAGGACACAGAGAGAGAGATTGCTCTTTCCAGACAAAGCAACCATCACCTGTGACTGAGAAACACATGTCCAGAAGGAAGGGGAAAGCACAGGGGGACGTGCCTGGAGGCACCCCAGGACTGAGAGGAGCAGCTGAAGGCAGGCCAGCAACTCTTGCTGCTCGGCCCCTTGTCTCCGCAGCACCGCTGGTCGGGTTTACCTAGAGGCCCTTCCAGCACCTACCACCTCCCTGTGAACAGGGACACGGCAGCCAGTTCCCAGATGCCTAAACAGCAGGCTTTTGAGCTGCTCAAGGAGGGGGATGTCTTGAAGAAGCTCCAAGAAGAAACTGAAGAAGAAACTGGGCAGTGGCAGCAAAAATTGCAGGTCCAAGGACAACTTGCCCAGGAGTTCCAGCTGGAAAAGGTGCCAGCAGGTTGGTGCCTGTCCTGCAGCGAGACTCCAAGCCCTGGGGGCCGGGGAGGAGGTCACCAGCAGATCAAACAGCATCCAATGACATTGCCATTTTAAGTGGGGTTTTCATTTTCTTGGAGTCACCTTCTAAAAAACGGGGTAAGGAGGAAAAGGGTGCGGTGCAGGGGGGAGCAGAAGAGGGTGCTGGAGGGAGCAGTGGAGAAAATCTTCATCCTGAAACGTCAAGCCAAACATCCCCCTGCCCTACCAAATCTTCTTTTTTTTTTTTTTTTATTTCAAGAAGAAAAATCGTATACTCCAGCCAGCTCTATTCATGACTGATTGTGCAGAGCTCTGCTAATGGGCTATGCCAAGCTGTGGTCACCCTACAGAGCTATTGGCAGGAGAGGTGGCAAGTTGGAGAGGACTACAAGGGAACTCTGCATGATACTTTTTGATGAGCTGATTATTCAGAAATTTCACAAGAGCTGAAATACATCACTCTGTTCTGAAACTCACAGCCCTGCCAACACACAGGACAGCTTACACGAGCAGCAGCGTTTTCTCCTTCACAGCGCTGCTGGCCTGTACGTTAGCAACCAGATGCAGGAATCAGACAAGGCTTTTCAGCAGCCATCGACTGCAGTGACAGCAAGAGATGGGGAGTGGATAGGAGGACACAGAAAGCTGAGATAGAAATGATTTAGGTACTTTCATGGCTGTCACTATGTGTGTATTTGGGTTTGCAAGTTTTTCATTAGCTCTGCGGGTACTGAGGCATTCTGATTTTTGTTGCTTTACAGCTTGGGTGTGAGATCACGCCAGGATCCCACATGTATTCAGGTATTTTTATTTCAGGTGGTGCTCAGTCCCCAGTTACATTTCAGGGTGTTGTCACAAGCCAGGAGCTGACCTTGACTCCCCCCATGGCAGCCAGGAGCCTCCATCTTAGATGTCGTCCTGAGTCTGCAGCCAAGTCAGGCTCCTACAGAGACCAAACGGTCATTTTCCCCTCTCTGCAACATTAATTAAAACCTAAACACCGTGTTATTTGAGCACAGGATCAAACGAGAGCCTGATACCTGGGGGTCTGTGTGTGTGTGGTGTGTGCATGTGTGGTGGGGGAAGTTAGAAGCAGCACGGAGCCAATTTCTGAAATATCGCACAAAGACTTGAAGGAGCCGACATAGCATCTCCCCATCCCATCGATCTGTCAACACGCAAGCCCCTTCGAGCCACCTGATGTGGCACAGGCTGTCCTGTAGAGGACCAGGGGCATCTGGAGCAAGAATGATGCTGAATTGCTGAAAATTAAAATTATCTTCATGCTGTAATCACAGCCTTCATTGAAAGCACTGTAAACTACCTGCCTGCCTTAGTGCAAGCAAATTTGCTGCAGGACATCTGCAGCCATCTAAGTTGCCCTCCTGCACAAAGAAACATAACTGCGGTCCAGATGAGCATTCACACACTGGAAAACTGAGCAGGGATGCGCAGAAGGTAGGTGTCTGGGACCTTGCACAGCACAACATGGGCCCGTTCTGCTGCCACAGCAAAGCCTCCAGAACCCATTCCTAATGCTTTTTGCCCAGCCCTGAGAATGTACATGCATAAGGCTCCCAGGTGGCCTTCAAACGGGACTGTACACCAGTACTGCCTCACATGACAGGGACCAGGAGCATGGGCTGAGGATCACAGAATCATAGAATGGTTTGGGTTGGAGGAACCTTAAAGATCACCTAGTTCCAACCCCCCTGCCATGGGCAGGGACACCTCCCACTAGACCAGGCTGCTCAAAGCCCCATCAGGATGTCCCTATCAGATGTGTGCTCCCAACAACCTGGCGACTCAGGTTTTCCTTTTAGCGCTTCCCCAGCAGCACAATTGTTGTCTTCCTTCTTGTGAAATCACAGCTGCTTTAAATATTAAAGTGCAAAAATACAACCCTTTGTGTTTGCCCGTTTTCCAGCATTTTTGACCATCCTGACTACTCACTGCCCATGGGAATAACCATGCCCGAGAAAGCTCTTCGGCAATTTCTGTTTCAAGGTAGGCAGGGGGAAGAGGGCACGTGGAGCCACATCCTACTCCCAGCCTTGTCCTACAAAAGTCAATGAAGGGCACAGTGGCTGAACCACAGCTGTTTCGCTAATGAAAATAGAGGCACACAGGCATAGCCGCCGCAGCCCCTTGGAGAAGCTGCTCACTTCAGCAAAACAAACTTTCAGTAATTGAAAAAACGTGGGAAACTTGCTTGTGCATAAGGGCAGGGAACAAGGGTCTCAGCCATGTAACAGCGAGCACAATTAGCTCTACCCTGTTATGAAGCCATCCCATCAGGACCACTCCACTTGCAAGATGTTCATCTGAGCCCCTGCACGGGTGAATTTTCCCACGTTTTCTGCTTTCAGTGGAGGAGCTCAGCACTCCGCAGCATCCCCCGGCACAAAGGCAAGCCCTGGGCGTGACCCCAGCGGGGGAAGCGATTGAGGTTGGAAAGGACAAAGTTGGTTACAAAGACCATCACTGCCTTTGGCACAATGGATTCTCACATTTCCAGCAACTGCATCTTTGTATGCAGTGCTGTGCCTGTGGAAAATTAAGTCTATAGGAAGTGTATGAATGATCCAGACACCATCCGCAAGGCTTAGGTCTTAAAAAAAGGGAGGGGGGGTTACTCCACATACTGCTGCAGGATGTCATGTACTTCATGATCTGTCTTTTCTAATCTCTCCTTATCTCTCACTCCAATCCTTTCTCATGTCCCTCATCTATTGCAAATTCCCTTTTTAAGCTGGAGCGAAGCACATAAATATTTTCATGCTGCATAAATAGGTTGTTTTGTGCATAATGCCACAGGAGGCTTTTTTTAAAAACAGGACCTTTAGTGCTGTGATAACGGCCTCCTCATTTACACAAATGAAATCTTCCATACAGCTCAGCACTCATCTGCTCAGCAGCCCCCATGCAAAATGGTTGGCGCAGCGCCTGCTCATCACAGGCTACAGAATTAATACAGCATATTCCATACTTAATAGGAAGCCGTTGAGCATCAGGTTTGGAAATACCTTGCAAATGTAACTGATGCTCAGGTTTTCCTTTTAGCACTTCCCCAGCAGCACAATTGTTGTCCTCCTTCTTGTGAAATCACAGCTGCTTTAAATATTAAAGTGCAAAAAGACAACCCTTTGTGTTCACCCATTTTCCAGCATTTTTGACCATCCTGACTACTCACCTTTTCTTCTCTGTCACTTCTTGCCCCATGACCTCCATTTCCTGTTTATTCAGCCCTTGTTCAGGGTCTAAAAAGTGCAGACACCATCAAAATGCACTTTTCATTTACTCTGCATAGAAAAAGAAATAGCGTTAAAATCTGTACAGTTTTTAAAAGGGCTAATGGAAGATGTTGGTGGTCACACTGGGTCATGGTAAATCTTTGAATTTAACTGGCTTTTCAGGAGCAATATTTTAACAGCACCACAGTAAAATGTGGAATCAAACATCGATGATTTTGCTCTGGTGTTTCTATTTATATTTGACCAGCACAAAGACGTCAAACCAACAGACTTTAATTCCTCTGCAAAGAGAAACTTAGGGAAAATTATGTGAGTTTGTACATTGAGCGTTTTCATACTTCTCAGGTCAGGTTGCAACCCTTTAGGATAGACTACTTTGGAGCATTTTTATTTGTTCAGGACAGTGACCACACCATGCTGCCAGGTGTGCAAAGCACTGCCAGGCGCTGGTTTGGACCTGACCCTGACCTTCTCAAGCCTTCAGGTAGACTCTGCACCCTACAGCCTCCCTCAGCATGACTCTTATTGAAAGACGTGGCACGTTTTCTTTTTCATCCTGAGTTCAGGGGACACAGAAAGCTTTTGTCGCTTCCTCACAACTCCAGAGCAAGGTTACGGGTGCTCTTTTCATGCATATCTTGCAGACTCATTTCTTCTCTCTTCCATCTGTTGTTTGGCTTTTTTTTGCTCTTTATTACATGTTAGTGATCAACAACTAACTCATGGCAGGGCTCTGAACATGGCATTTCTTACCAAGGGAGTGTTCCACACGGGTGGCTCCCACTCATGTTACTTGTTGCTGCAAGCAGGATGTTTGTGCCAGTCTAACCCCAATGTCATTACTATCCCATTAGCAGCTTTACATGTTCATTGATTTGCAGAAGTGTTTTGTATCACCTTAAGCTCCAGAAACATTGTGACAATGCATTAAAAGGAACAGAAAAAAGGAAAGATCTTAAGAAGTATTATATTTCCTGTTATACTACCTTACCTGACAAAACGGCAGCTCTCCAAGTTTATCTTGGCTAGTCTGTAACAAAGCCTTGGTTTTTATGAGTTGTCATACTGCTAAAAGATCTAATTTTTCTATGATGTAATAGCCCACATACAATAACCGAATCTCAAAAAGCACAACATGGAGTAAACACTTTGTAATGTGCCTAAACACAGTGGCTACCTGATTTCGATAGCACTTTATTTCAATTTAGGCTAACGGACAATTTAAAAAGATTTGTTCCCAAGTACACAATACAGAAAAATATGAGTTACTACACAGAGCGATATTTTGAATCAGTGCTGTTAGTCGTCTTAGCTGAAACTCAACCTTGATGATATCCAAAGGTCCAATAAAATTTTTCATGGAAGAATCCCATATTTGTAGAACATAATAAAACTGTTCAGCTGCAGCTCCAGGGCCACGGAGAACTGGAGAATGAAGTCTTTCTTTCTGGGGAGTTTCTTGTGTCACAGGGTGGTTTTCAAACACTTTGATACCTGAGAAATATCAAACATAACAGATAGTTACATATAACAGTATCTTTGATTTTTTGTTAGTATGACAAAATGTAAGGCTGTTTATTGCTAACAAGTTAGGTGCTCATTACTGTGTTCCAACAGGAAACACTGACAGCGATGGGCAAAAGAAAACGTTCGGTGTTAAATCCACACACAGCACATTTCAGCTCCTATTATAGCATGTGTGATAGAGAAAGGAGAAAATCCTTGCACAAAACTATTTTAAAATTATGTATCAGAGCAAGAAAGAGGAGCATTTGTTTGATTTATTATCTACTTTTTCAATAAGGTTCACTTCCAAATAATACTAATACCTACCTTTCATGTTGTGCTTTTCATTCTTAACTCACAAAGCACCCTCCAAAGGAGGTCAGGATCATTTTGTGAAAAACAAACATGAAGTCAAGCCACCTCTCTGATGTCCCTGAGTAAGGCAGCACAGTCCCCAGCTCTGATGACCACTAGTCATAGGAACAAAGGATTAGAAAGGGCATCTTGTGTCATCAAATCCAGCTTCTTACTCTTCAAATCAATTTTGCTATAATAATCTCATGCAAGAGTCTTTGGGGCGCATGATTTCTTACATAAGCTCCTGCAAATGCTCTTCAAAACATCATCTCTTGTATATCCTCACCCATCCTGACCCTGCAGTGGGAGCCTACCTAATGCCAAGCTATTACACACCAGTGATTTGGGACCATCACCCTGAAAATGCCCCCAGCCTCAGACACCAAAGAATGAATGGGGGCATTTCTTCCTACGCCTGCTCAAATTTTATGCATCTCTTGGTGGGCCATCCTAGTAAAAGACCTGTAATAGGTGCCATGACAGACCTGGAAGGTGTTCCTGAAGCAGAGAAATAGAAATGCCGAGAGTCTGACAACTGAAGCCGACTGCAGCTCTGAAAACTCTGTGCAAAATCCCTGCACAAACTCACAGCGCAGTTGTTGTTGCAGCGTTAAGTGGAGGCTTGCAGCAGCCTCAGGTGCCAACACAAAATGGGCATTTGGGTTTACCCCTGCACATACCTGTCCCTTCACGTAGCGAGTGACATCCTGGCAAACAACAGAGCCTGAAGCACGTTCAGTCCAATATATTTCCAATGTCCATCACCCCCCTCCTTTTTCAAATAACTACTGCTGGTGAAGTTATTAATGCCTTTCCACCTACACAGCCTAGATACCGAAACTCACACAAAGGCATCTTTTAAGCTTTGAGGTCACGTTGGAGTTGCTGGTTAGAGTGTCTCTCTGGGCAGTTCTATTATGCAGCAGCTACAGCAGTAGGATAACACGATACAAACCTTTGCTAATAATTGAGCGTGAAGTGGGCTTTTTGCTTGGTATCTTCAGCTTTGTACCTTCACTTCAGAGCATGTTTAGAGCTGGCTTCAATACTCAGAAAATTATGTCAGCTTATTAAACACAAAGCTGTTAGACGAGGGCACGGCCCCCGAACTTGTTTCCCGCGGCTGTATGAGGCTTGGATCCTCGCTGCTTTTGCGGCTGCAACTCCCCAACCGCCCAATGCGTTGTTTGATTGTCTTTTCTCACTGAAACATATGTTTCCCCTTTTGATGGCATTTTGAGCAACAGTTTCCATTGTATGCCCTTCTTGACTGACAGTTTGATGGCAGCCTGTAAATTACTTGGCACATGTTTTGTGAATCTCCTTGAAGGAGGGTCTGGCTGCTTAGTAAGTGCATCCTTTTGCAGCTTTGGGGACAAGAGATTAGGGACGTTTTAGCACAGATTTGGGTATAAAAGTACTTGACCACAGTGATATCATCCTTATTTGAAGCTCAGCATTGTCCGGTACCATGATTCTTTTATTCCAGGTCCCAGGACACAACATCCATCAGTTATGCTTGGCTTTCCCCATTTTCCTCTCATACAACGTGACACACATAAAGCTTAATGATGAATCAAGAAAGGATCAGACTGAAAATACTTGGTATTTGATGGATAGCCCAGGTAAGCATTCAGGCTGCTGGATGTGCAAGTTAAGAGAACATCTGGCGCTCTGTCAGCTTTCTTTGGTAACAGTAACACATTTGCTGCCTTGCCTTTATGTGGTACAATCTTGTCTGTGTCTCTGGCCATGACGTTTCTACTGTAGCTATAATTAACAGGACACAAGCAGTGCTGTATGGAATTCATGTGCTCTTTACAGCTGAATTAAATGGCCACCTATAGGGAAATGGAAGTCCGGAGAATGAGGTGTATGACTTTCCGCACAGCACTACTTATAGCCTCAAAATAGAGCCCTGGAATAGTTGTGACGGGGACATTATGTTTATGCTGTCTTCCTCTTGTAGGAGGCCATTTCAGTTATATCCATAGCTATCTCTATTGCAGCTTTGTTTTCATAAGAATAACGATATGCTTCACCCAGAAAAATAATCAACCTCAGTTCTGAGACTGCTGTGCAACAGCACACCACATTTATTTGGGGAAGCCTTTTGCTCTAAGCCTTCTAGGGTAGGTATTACTGCTGTACACAGTCGCCGCACCACTTCTGGCTGTTTACATCTTCCCTTGAAGAGATAATTTAACTCCTGTGCATAAACCTTCTCCCTGCTGCAGAGGTGGTGGGTCTGGCTATTTTACACTTCAAAAATACCAACAAGGGCCAGATTATGTTTGTCTATTGGATTTCTGTTGATATTAACTTTCCTTGCATTCCACTGAAATGTCAAAAAGATTACTTTATATGTACTTACTGCAGAAAAAACAGAATTTTGGGTGAAAAAGCATAGACCTATGATCTGATCCATCTTCTCTTTGCTATTTCCAACTACTTAAAGCATAATGTCACACTGAAACGCACACTTGGAGTGCTGCATTCTCTTCTCCCGACAGATTGTTATGATGTTTTCCAAGGTGACCTTCATAAAACATGTTTCTTTTGAAGCTTATATTTCACTCAGGTCATAACAGTTTCACACAGTCAAGCAAACTGTCCGCTCCTGCTTTCTAATTAATGGTTCTTAGCAGCTTCTGAGCGGGGGATATAATTAATAGCACTTAAGTCTGAAGTGCAGAGAAATCTATAGCTGATTACCAGGATGTGTATTTACTTAGGGATTATATGCAAACAGCTCTTAAGCGCAGCCATGAACAGCTCTCGACAATGCTCTCCAGGAATTCCCCCGGATCAGGCACCACCTTGAGTCTTATTCCAGTGTAAGCAATCAAAAAATTGCCCTGCTTTTAAAGCTAGGCTCCTGCAACTGAGGGGTCCCTGCCTGCTGTACCCTCTCCCCTGATCCCATTCCCCATATACCAGAGTCACAGCATGCTGTGTTTTCTATGACTGCATGGTGATTTCGCTCGCCAACAGGCTTCCTACAGTGGGGGAGCATCTATTACAGAAAACATCTCTGGCCCTGTCTCTGTTGTCACTGTGGCATCCACCGAGGAAACAACCTGCTCTGTGGTCCATACTGCCCAGGTATAGCATCTTCTGGTGCAGACTGGCTGTGTTCTCACTACGCGGCATGTGTGCGAAATCCACTCCAAGGCATAAACATTTTGGTTTTTATTCAGTTTAAAGCACCAGAAATAATAGGAGGGCTTTTCTTACAGTAAAGCAACCAAAGAAGGGTGTTGCAAGCCATCTTGTCATACGTGCCTAAATTATAGGAGATAGGATCGCTCTGGTGCTCGCTGTCATGCATGCAGCATGGATTGTCAGAGGTGCTGGAGCAAAACCAGATGCCAGCCAAATTGCCAGCTTAAATTCCCTCTGGTCAGCTGCTGCTAACAGTGGTAATTTCCCTGCTGAAGTCAATAGAACAGCATCTTTTCACACATGCTGAGATCTTGGTACAGAAGAGGCAGCTGTGAGGCAGAATGAGTGTTCTGAAAGAATAAGGTAGTCTCACAGTGGGGCAAAAAAAAAAAAAAAAGGACTAAAATTCATATTCTCTGACAAAGTTGAAAAGACTGTATTCTCCAAAAACATTGCCAGACTGGGGATGAAGGGGGGAATTAACATCAGAAATCCTGCACCCATGTGCAGCCTGCACTATTTGGAGAGATTTTTAAATGAATTTTGCATGTTGAATGACACAAAATATTCAAATGGATGAGCAATTAAAAGCTATTGAATATTTGAAACTCAAAAACCACTAGGCAACAGAATATCACTGTCAACCCCTTTATGCAAAGGGATGTTTTGACATACTTAAGACTGACTACTTTTCTAATGGTGCAACAGTATTACTTCAGTTATACATAAAGCAGGAAAACTTCTACTGAAACTTGTGCAGCCTGGTTCCTTCTTCAAAACAACAACACAGTGAAACTGCCTTTGAAGAGAAACATTTTTCATATACTATCTGAAGGTTAGTAACTCTTTTAATCTTTAGCCTTTCTGCTGGCATATGTAATTTAAAATGCACAAAACAGACTATCAAAACACTTACCCAGCTACAGACAGTTAGAAAATTTAAAAGGTGCATCTGAAAATCAGCTTGGAAATTAAGATGCTGCACCAAATCTTGCTCTTTGAGTAAGGCCTCTTTACCTGTGGATCAACCTCAAAGAGCGACCAGTTATCAAACACAACTGACCGTTTGACAGTCAACACTGAACGAGGAATGGCTCCTAAAGAGGTCAAACCTTGGAGCTACTAAGCAAGAAAGTGACTAACTGGGGCGATTATACATTGAATATCCTTTCCACAGGAAGTTGTTTTTTCCCCTTTCTTGTCCTCCTCCAGAGCCATATGAAGTTTTGCCAAACTTCAGCTCTTAAGACAGCACCATGAGCAGCAGTACAGAGCCCGCACATGCTCGTGGTGTTCAAGAAGTGACAAACCCTTCTAATAAGATGGGATACAGTGGTGTGGCGACATGCAGTGAAAGAGTAGAAACATGTGCAAAACACAAATTCACTCACTGATTTCAGTTTCATCTGCTCTAGGCACTTGTACACGACTGACTTATTTTATGCCAGTTATTTTCTTAAGGGTGTAAATTAGCCAGGCTAAATGGGGTGCATTTCTTTAAGCAGGTGGCTGGATATTTCTGATCATCTGGGGACTGGTGTAGAAGCACTCAGCTGTGGCTACCCAACCAGCCAAGAGGGATCAGTGCCAGCAAATGTAGTAGGAAGAGAATCAAGAGCTTCTTGCCTTGTTTAAGTCTTTCTTAGGAAAAAGAAGTCACCTGCAAGTCCTCCTTGATCAGATAGTCTACAAATACCGGCGAACAGTGCTACTGTACCTAGTCAAGTCATACAGGAGTTGTCACAGTTGGTGAAGGACTTGTGATAAATGTAAAAGTAGCTGGGAAAGCTCTGAAAGACAGCTCGGTCTGTCCAGGCTAATCTAGCTGAGCCGGGCTTCTTTGAACAAAACATTTAAGTAGAAAAATAATGCATGAGGCCTTAAAAATTGCCATTTATTGGCTCCAGAACACCCACATTCAGCTCTTTCTGACTTTCCTTGTGCTGCATGAAAAAACTCAAGTCAAATAGCATCGAGGTAAACTTACAAATGGCAAAATAAATCCTTTGTAGGTTAAAAACAAAAATAGCTTTGAAGAAGGATGCATATAGCCTTGATAATTTGCCAAAAGTTTTCAATCTTCATCACTTTAGAAACAAGGTTAAGAGAGTAGATAAAGGTTGAGAAATTCAGAAGTTGCTCAGATATACCTTTATCTCAGGCTTAGAGCCTTAAACCTCAGAAGGAAAACAATGTCAGAGAGAAGAGATTGACAGTGATGCCTTCTGTTGAGAATCAAGGGTTGGAAGGACTGCCTGTACTAAGCAAAATAGTCTCATGATAATGATGTCAGTAAGATTTAATTTATCAGTGTGTTCTAGGAAGGTAATGACCTTAATATCACGGGAAACTTTTCAAGAAGTCAGCCATGAAGACACACGCTGATTTATTTTCATAACAAATGGAAATAAAAGTACAGGAATTTGCTTACAGGAATGAATTTATACCATCTTATCCAGCTTTGTGTTTAGTATCAGAAGAGCCCAAGAACATGCTATTGATACATGGGGACTTAATTCCAACCCCTTTGAGAATCTCCACAGGAAAGTATTTCAAATTCATTTCTAACTGGACCAAAAAAACCCTTCCAAAAGCCCACCAAATATATAATGGGGAACAACATCACATTGGAACAGGGATGTGCCATTTTATCCTAAGTACTGTTCATTTGCTGCTATGCCATAGATGAAGTACTATGTAATGCCTCTGTTAGTAGAGAAGAGTGCTTACATATGCATTACCTAAGGACATGCTCTTTCTGGCCAAGTAATTCATTGAGTAATTCATTTTTAACACGCATAAGAAGGCAAAAAGTGAGTGTCTACATACAAATCCAGCAGCCACTGTGGAAACTTGACTGTATAGTCCAAACCCTGCTGCTCCAAACCCTGGAGGTCCCTAGGTCCCAGATTTGACAGGACGAGGGGGAATGGCTTCAAACTGGAAGAGGGTATATTTAGATTAGATATTAGGAAGAAATTTTTCACTTTGAGGGTGGTGAGGCACTGAAACAGGTTGTGGCTGCCCCATCCCTGGAGGTGTTCAAGGCCAGGTTGGATGGGGCTTGGAGCAACCTGGTTTAGTGGGAGATGTCCCTGCCCATGGTGGGGGTTTGGAACTGGATGATCTTTAATGTCCCTTCCAACCTAAACCATTCTATGATACTATGATTCTGAAGACAAGTTTCCTTCACAGATAGGAATTATGCACATTACACAGCTTTCTCTGTGCCAGTCCAGAGAAGTGTTTGCACAACTAATTTGACTGAAGAAGACAAGAGCACCATCGTCATGAAAGAAAAAATGGAAAGGAAAGAGTCTGATGAACCAGCCCAAATGGAGATGGCAGAATGACATGGGAGACGAGAGCTGCCATGTAAGTGTGCCACGTGCACACTGTGCAGTTTAGCTCAAGATGTCTCAAGTGGGCTGCAAGCAGTGAGTCACAGACAAAGAGGAGGGTTATTTATGGGATTTCAGTTCTTCAGAGGAAGAAATATGAAACAGTCAGAAACGACAGAGAAACGAGAGTGCTGGATGATGGCAAAAAACATATGGGGAACAGGGGAGAGGGAGCTTTTGGCATCATTGCAGCAGCATACATCCCGGTGTAACTCATATTGATCTCTGGGGGCCAGTTCATTTCTACTGGAAGAATCTGGCTTCTGGGACTCCAGGTACAAAATGAAAACCTCTCAATTTCTAGAGCACCAATGTTAGTGTTTGCCAAGTGTTTTTTCTATTCCTCCCTGCAAATCTTTTTTCTTTTAGGGCCAGTGGAAAATTTAGCAGAACAGGCAGTTTTCCAGCAGGCTTAATTCTGAAAGTTGAACTGATCAGATGATTTAAGATTTGCTGAATGAAGTTAGCATTTTCTTATCCACACTATAGTCTGAATTCTGCTGGGATTTTGTATGTCAAGGTGCGTATGCATATCTGGGCGTACACAGACACAGGAGTTTTTAACTCATTATAGAGGTAACAAGGCTGTTTTCTCTTCTAAAAACACAGGGAGGATGTGTTAGGTTAGACATTCCTCTTAAGTAACTGCTGATGATTCTGATTTCTAGATATGTTCTTTATTGCTGTCCGGAAACTAATTGCTCTAGGATGGTGCCGATTATTTCAGCCACTGTTGGAGTGCTGCGTTCTTTTGGAAACAACGTAAACCTAAGAGCTTTCATTTCTTTTGTTCAATTCTACAGATTCTCCCTCTGTCCTTAAGAAGCCTATGGAGGACTGAACAGAGTTTTGGGTGTTGCAGAAGTAAGTTAATGAGTAAATCATTACCTTCAATTTTCCTGAAAATACTTCTTCAGAATTGCTGCTTCAGCTGCCATTTCTTCTTCTGTCCTCCACTTGTCAGAGGAATCCTCTTTGTCGTGTTGTTGCAACTTTTTTGAGGGAGGAAGAAGAAAAAAAACAGTTTGTTGATTTTTTTTTTCCCCAGTTTTATTGTCAAATTCAGGGCCTGCCTGTATGCAACTAATCCAACTATTCCACGTGTCCTCAGGATGGAGGGACCTAGTGATGTAGAGATGAAGGGTGAAGGTTACTAGTTTAGAGCGGTGACAGTAGTTAACTGGCTCTGACGGATTTACAATGATAACGCAAAGTGCCAGCGTGATTGATAGGCAGTGACAGAGTTCACCTTTGTGAGTTGATGGTCAGATACCTTGTGAGTCTTTGATGCAAAGCTGGTAGGTAACAGGATAACACAGGTATTTTGAAGAGCCCATTACATCTGTGCAGTGAGCTAGGCAGAAGCTGCCTAGACATCTTGTCAGTAATTCATGTAAAATTTTCTCTCTGGCTTTTCCTCCACCCATGGGGCCACCTTTCCCATCACAGACCTATTGTGATAACAAGGCCTTGTTGGAGCTGTTTCCCACCAGCAGTTTTTATCAGTAGTTTTCAGAAGAGATACATTCCCTCTCCGCATGCAAGTTATTAGTCCTTCCTTGCCCTTGCTGAAAGTGAGACACATCCCTGGTCTAGAAACAAAGCCTGCTATTTTAAGCATAATTATATTTCATTGATGATATACTGAGGAAAAAAATCAAAAGTATGTGAAATACTTAACTTTTGCATCTAGCTTGCTTAATATGCCCACAAAAATAAGTTCTAGCTCATATGCAGTAAGGATTAAGAGATACTGTCCCAACATGACAATTTCAAATACATCCTTTGACCCTCCAGAAGAAGGGAGAACCTGAGGGTTTTGCTGCTCTTTAGAAGAGAGGAGTTCTATTTTATGGTAAATATAACATGCCAGCACTTGAGTGACTATTTGTACACACATCCACTCAAAGAATGCCTGCCACTCCTCAAGGGAAGATTACATTTACAACAGACATCAGAAACATTTGCATTAATGCATTAAGTATTGAGATTTCCAGTGTGTCTCCAGGTACAGAGCACGACACAGATTGTATTAACAGCATCAGTGCTTCCGAGGAACATTATAATATCGACTTTTTGTTAATGTCACAAACAAAGTTGGAAACTAATAACCTTTTATTCCTGGACAAGTTTTAGTACAGAAGATGAAGCAGTGAAAAAATAAAGATGAAACAATATTGAACCTGCCAAGCAAACTGCGTTACTGTATATGGCATGTTTAGCAACAAACTAGGATTGTTAGCATACATCCAACTCACAAATACTTTTATTTGTGTTGTGTTTCTCCTACTCTGAATTTTGCTGCCAGCTATAGTCCTATGTAGTTTTACATTCTGCAGCATAGATTTCTTCCTCCTCAGCAGATGAAGCTGCATTAGAAAACTATTTCCTTTCATGCCAATACGATACAGTAGCTGTGGGCAAATTAAAGTGTATTACTGTTCGACTAGTAGAGGACTAATCTTCATCGTTACATTAGCTCTAGGTGTGTTATAAATCCATCTTGTAATAATGCTACAGAATTACAGAGAAAGATTTAAAAGCCAGGAACTGGTACAGCATGTACACTGTCAACATGCAACCTTTGTGTCCATGCGCCTGCTCTCACCCACTGTACACACCTATACACTGTATAGGTACCACAGCTGAGCTGGCAATAGAAGGCGTTATGGGAAACAGCATACATCATTCTGTACTTTCCATGGACTGTGAGCATTTACACTTCACAAGAGGATGCACCAGGACAAGCCAAGTGGTGGTAAATCAATTGTCTGTCTGAGGTGTGAGCTGTTTTTCTAAAAAAGCAATGTCTTGCTCATTCGACCTGGCATCAGCGGGAGATACAGCAGGCAACAGCTAGAAGGCAAAGGAGGGCAGCCTCTGTTCCTCAAGGTCTCCTTGTTTAACCTGCAAGAAATGCTTTTAGTGACGCGATTTGGCTGCTGTTCTCCCTTGCTATCCTGTTTCTGCCCAACCCAGGTGAGAGCTAACTCCACGAGGAAACTAGTAAAGCAGAGATTTACCTTGTAGTTTTTATTTTCCCTGCTCAAAGAAACTGAAGTGAACAGTAATAAGGAGGCATTTCCTGAAGTGGCTGTTGTTGTTGTCTAAATTAAAACCGTGTGAAGTCACAGCCCATAGTGACTTCTCAAAGCTGGCAAAGGAGAGGGTTTCTTTTGCTACACAACCGCGTAACCTTTAAAAATAATCAATCTTTGACTTAAGGTTAAAACAGATATATGGGGAGCAGCAATGAATTTTGAAACTAGCCTGGAAACCCAACCTACTTCAGCAGCGCTAGCTCCTGGCACACAGCCCGCAGTGCCGCACAGCAAGCCCCAGCCTGGCGTAAAAGCGCTCAACACAGCCGCGGCAGGCGTTCACGCACCCCTCATACTGAAAAGATGTATCCACATTTTGTGGACAGACTGGGTATGATGAACAACAGACTGTGGTGTTAAATCACTGCCATGGCAAATCTATTCATTGTTCAACTGACTTATAGATGATTTAAGTATAAAATTGCTATGTCTACCCAAACAGGATCCCAGAACTGTTCTGCGTTCAAACCTCTTGCTGTGTCAGTAATTTCTGAAGAGCAATATGCAATTATCACCCCAATGCCACTTAGTTTCTGATATTATCTAACCACCACTGTGGAGACATGAAAAACTGTCTCTGGCAGCTGCCTACCCCTCTCTGCTACCAGCATCCTGCAGCTCTAGTACAAGCCAACCTGTATAGAGAGTCACTCTGAAGCACAAAAATTACAGATAACCTTGCTGGAGGATGTTCTGGATGCTAAACGTTACACAGGTTTAAGATCAACAGCACCCATAAATGGATGAGAAGTTAAGAGCTGATGATACCACCTCTATTTCGTGAATTCTGCGTGCCACAAATTAATGGAGGCTGGAGAGCACAATGGAGAGCACTCCGGGAGCATCTGTGCACCTGTCTTCTCTTAGCATCTGTTAGTGGTCTCCAACAGTGACAAGATATTGGGATCATGGGTGGGTTTGGTCTCATCTGGTTATTTCATGTGTTCTTATGTAAGAAACTTTTCAACCAAATTCAGGTCTTCATGTAAGGTGTCCGTAAGCAAGAGCTACGTGTTTTTTTTTTTTTTTTTAAAAAAATAGAGGCTAAGACAGGACCCATAGTATTTTGGCTGAGTTTGAAAGCTACTTTACAAGACAAACAACATACATATTTCAGTATTACATTGTATTGATTTAGAACTCAGGTGGGAAAAAACGTAACAGTGGATACATGTTTCTAAGAGACTTCTGTGTCTTGGAATGTGTTCATATTCACACACACATGCAAGTCCCAGCCTTGCATCTTTACAAACATCTGACATGCTATTATACAGGGGAAGCAATGCTGTCCTGCACCTGGAGAACACTCCAAGATTCTGCTCAAAGCAAAGGGAAAAAATACGTCTATTTGCCAGCTATCCATCTGTAAAAACTAGTGTTTTCCCCTTGTTTTTTCCCAGTCAGACAGAAAAAGCTGGAGAACTTGAGCTGACATCCTTACTCCTATAGAGGAACTCAAACACAGACTAGCTTGACGTCTGTGATTCTTTCTGTAGAACAATTCTACTTCTGCAAACTCTGAAAAAAAACCCAAACAAACTTACCCAGAGTCGCACATCATCTACCTGACATGATTTTCTGTGAGGGAAGTTTTGCCCAGATTACCCTGGACAGTCTGAATAGAAGTGGAGATTCACTGATCCACATTCTTTCAAATATACTTCTGCTACTTTCTCCATGGGTCCTGGGACAGGGCTTCCATATTACCCAAAGGCACCTAAACAATAACCGTTGCCTTTCTTGCAATGAAGGCTTCTAGAAGAAACTGCTGTGCTTCAAAATCCCTTCCCAGGCAAATGTGTGTGTTTCCAGTTGTGGTAAGCGACTGGTATTTCAAGTAAGATGAAAGTAGCACATGGTGAGGTTACAAGAGTCACTTCTTTGCAAAACCCTGAAGTAAAGGCAATACATTTTGCTCAGGGTCTTCCAGGGACACCCATGGTGTGACAGGGGAAGCACAGCCTATTCTCAGTAATGTTATGATAATGTTGGCAAAAGTTCATCAAATACACACTAACATATCCAATACACTAAGCGAAAGAAAGAAGAATTAGAAAACTAGGGCAAGTGGCAGTCTAGAAAACCTTTTCTGTAGAGCTCCAAGCTACTTACCATTTTAAAACTGCTGGTATTTTGCCTGTTTTCATAAGAGAAATGTGATGCAAAAGCACCACACCAGATACTGCAAAACTCAGAAAGCCCCAAATTCTCTGAAGCCAAATGCAAACCTGTTGTTATATTACAGCAGTGTCTCAGAAGTGCGAGCATTAACAAAAATGTAAGCAACCAGATTTGTGTAGCTCAGATAACTCTGACAGGAGAGGAAAGGACAGGAGAGCATGAACATTTCTTTTAGACAATCTCTATTATGCTAACTTTTTCTTTTAATATTCTGGACAAGCACTGAGACACACATTAGTCAATTCTCTAATCGCAGTTGCCCAGCAAATTACACACTGTATCTGCTCAACATTCTTCAAGCACTAAGACTCTTGTTTATAACTTAGTACATCTTCTTGCCTTGCAGTACAAATAAATGCACTATTTCTAAGATATGCCCTTCTTCAAGCAGATCATTACTGATGTCTGACTTCTTGGGCTTCCTGATAAATTATCCTCTACTTTCACCTCAAGCAGAAAATGCTATTCCACCAATAATCTATGACTGTCAGTCTTGATTACTTGTAAACAGTGGAGCTCTTTGAATATTTCTGCTTGTGAAAAGCGTTCATTTTCTCACTCATGTCTCCCAGTGTGAGATGCTGGCAGACCTGACAGCTGTGCTTTATGTTGTTTTATTAAAGTTGTTAGTGCTGCAGAATGGTCTACGTTTTTATCACTGCAATTCTTAAGGGAAACACAATATTGTTTTATAACACATTCGCGTTGGG